TATTTTTCAGAATGGAGACCAGTAACTAGTGTTGTTCCACAGGATCAGTCTTAGGCCCTCTGTTGTTTGTAGTATATATTAATGATCTGGGGGAAAATGTTGGTGGTCTGATTAGTAAGTTTGCAGATGACATGAAGATTGGTGAAGTTGCTGATAGTGCTGACGATTGTGAAAGGATACAACAGGATAGAAATAGATTAGCAACTTGGGCACAGAAATGGCAAATGGATTTTAATCCAGGCAAATGCAAGGTGATGAATTTTGGAGGATCAAATTTAGGTGTGAATTGTACTATTAATGGCAGAAATCTTTGGAACATTAACATACAGATGGATCTAGGCGTTCAGGTCCACAGTTCTCTAAAAGTGGCAACATAGGTGACCAAGATGAGTAAGAAGGATATGACATGCTTACTTTCATCAGCCGGGGTACAAGAGTTGGCAAATATGTTGCAGCGATATAAAACCCTTGTTAGGCTGCAATTGGAGTATTTCGTGCAGTTTTGGTCGCCACACTACCAGAAGGATGTGGAAGCTTTGGAGAGAGTACAGAGAAGGTTCACCAGGATGTTGCCTGGTCTCAAGGGCATTGGCTATAAGGAAAGGTTAAAAGACTAGGATTGTTTTCCATGGAAAGACGGCAGCTGAGAGGAGACCTGATAGAGGTCTGTAAAATTATAAAAGGCATAGATAGGGTAGAAAGCCATAGGCTTTTTCCCCAGGATTGAAGCTTCAATTACAAGGGGGCACATAGGTTCAAGGTCAGAGGGGGTAAGTTTAAGGGAGATGTGTGAGGAAAGTTTTTCACGCAGAGTGGTAGGAGCCTGGAATACACTGCCAGAGGAGGTGGTGGAAGCAGGCACATTGAAGACATTTAAGAGGCATCTGGGTGTTTACATGAATAGGGGAGGAGTAGTGGGATATGAGCCGAATAAGGGCAGAAGGTTTGTTTTTCAGTTTGGTCAGGGCATGATGATCAGTACAGGCTTGAAAGGCTGAAGGGCCTGTTCCTATGCTGTACTTCTCATTTGTTCTTTTGTATCTTTCCCAAGATCTATCTGTGTCCACTCCTCTCGCTGAAGGTAATGTTTAATGTTTGTGAAGTTGTTTATTTAGAGCTTTACCTCAGTACTGCTTACTGTACAAATACAGCCGACTAATGACAAAGACCTTTACCACTTTGAATCTGTGGAAGCAGGCCATTTGGCCCAGCAAGCCTGCACCAACTCTCTGAAAAGCATCCCACCCAGACCCACCCTGTCTGTGTAACCCTGCATTTCCCATAGCTAATCCAAATAACCTGCACGTCCCTGGTAACTATGGGCCAATTTAGCATTGCCAATCCACCTAACCTGCGCATCTTTGGACTGTGGGAGCACCTGGAGGAAACCCACGCAGACATGGGAGAATGTGCAAACTGTACACAGACAGTCACCCAAAGGTGGAATCGAACCCGGGTCCCTGGTGCTGTGAGGCAGCTCTGCTAACCACTGAGCCACTGTGCTGCTTAAAGTAAAGCCGTCAAGAAATGAAAATTTTCTAATTTCCAGCTGTTTAAATACTCTCTGTAAGGTCTCACATCCCCACCAATCTGCTTTCATCTGATGGCAGAATTCACTTTTCCTTTCAAAGTGTCTGTTCTGGACCTCTCTTATCTGAACAAAGAACAAAGAGCAATACACCACAGGAACAGGCCCTTCGGCCCTCCAAGTCTGCACCAACACATTTTCCTTTTCCATACTAAGACTGTCTTCACTTACAGGATCTGTATCCCCCTGTTCCCTTCCTATTCATGTATACATCCATATGCTTCTTCAATGTTGCTATTGTGTCTGCTTCCACCACATCCTCTGGTAACATGTTCCAAGCACCCACCACCCATTCTGTGAAAAGCTTGCCTCACACATCTCTTTTAAACTTTCTCCCTTGCACCTTCAACCAGTGTCCCCTAGTTATTGACTGCTCTACCCTGGGAAAAAGCCTCATACTTTCCACTCTATCCATGCCATTCACAATCTTATAAACTTTAATCAGGTTGCCCCTCAATCTTCCACATTCCAGTGAAAACAAACCCAGTTTATTCAACCTTTCTTCATAGCTAAAATCCCCCAAACCAGACAACATCCTGGTAAACTTTTTCTGTACCATCTCCAAAGTTTTCATATCCTTCTGGTAGTGTGGTGACCGGAACTGCACTCTATATTCTAAGTGTGGCCTAACTAAAGTTCTCTCAAGCTGCAGCATAACTTGTCTATTCTTATATTCAATGCCCTTTCCAATGAAGGCAAGCATGCCATAGGCCTTTTTTACTACTTTATCTATCTGTGCTGCCACTTTCAGTGATCTGTGTATCTGCACACCCAGATCCCTCTGCATATCAATACTCCTAAGGATTCTGCCCTTCACTGTATAATTTCCACCTGTACTTGACCTTCCAAAATGCATCACCTCACATTTGACCAGATTAAACTCCATCTGCCATTTTTCTGTCCATGCCTCTAACTGATCCACATCCTGCTGTATCCTCTGACAATTCTCCTCACTATCAGTGACTCTACCAATTTTTGTATCGTTCACAAACTTACTAACTAGACCAACTACGTTTTCCTTGAAATCGTTTATGTACATCATGAACAGCAGAGGTCCCAGCACTGATCCCTGTGGAACACCCCAATCACAATCTCCATTCCAACAAGCATCCTTCCACCAGTGCCCTCTGTCCCCAATAACTAAGCCAGTTCTGTATCCATCTTGCCAGCTCACTCCTGATACCACATGACTTCACCTTTTGTACCAGTCTGCCATGAGGTACCTTGTCAAAGGCTTTACTGAAGTCCATGTAGACAACATTAAGTGCTTTGCCCTCATTAATCATCTTTGTTAGCTCCTCAAAAAACTTGCTTAAGTTAGTAAGGCACAACTTCCCCCACACAAAACCATGCTGTCTTTCGCTAATAAGTCCATTTGCTTCTAAATGCGCATAGATCTTGTCCCTGAGAACTTTTCCAATAATTTCCCTACGCCAATGTGAGGCTCACAGGGCTATAATTTCCAGGATTTTCCCTGATACCCTTCTTAAACAATGGGACAGCATTGGTTCTTCTCTAATCCTCTGTGACGTCACCTGTGATCAAAGAGGATGCAAAGATGTCTGCTCCTCTATATGCTGCTCACCGCTTGTCTCAGGCTACTCTTGTCACCTTAAACATTGACTGCCTTCACCACTGATGCACAGTGTGTACAGTCTACACAATGCACTATAGTAACTCACTGAGGCTTCTTTGCACACCTGTCACCATTATCACCTCTAAGGACAGGAGCAGCTGATAAATGGGAACATCACCATCTGCAAGTTCCCCTCCAATCCACTCACCATTCTGACTCAGAAATACGTCGTCTTTTCTTCCAAAATCCTGGACCTCCGTCCCTACCAGAGTTGTAGGAGTCCTTACACCTTCAGGACTGGAGAGTTCCAAGAAGGGAGCTCTCCAGTGTTGATCACTTCTGGACAGCAATTAGGGATGGATTTAACGCTGGCTTTGCCTTCAGGTCTTTCATCCCATAACTATATTGAGTGAAAAGAAATCCAAATGATTGGCTTTGTCAAAAAAAAAGATTTATGGAAGAAATTTATACATTTGCAAGTCAGCCGGGAAATGTATTTTAGAATAAATTTGCCTATAATTAATGTTGACAGAAATTTAATGTTAGAAGTGTTTTCTCGCAGGGAGTGCCTGCTTATGTACTGTTTCATTTTTAATTAGATACACACAAAACCAATAGTTTCTCATATAAGCAATCATTACAATTTGAAAATAGTAACAATTTTCTCTTTGTAATCATTCACTATCTTTAATCGTCCTTTGTAAACTTATGAGTCATTCAGTAATGACAGCAACTTGATTTCCTACCTTGTCTCCTCCCGTGGTATTTCTAGGAGGTTGCAAGATACAAGGTTGTGATCAACAGGGGGGAGAAAATAAATTGGTCAAGTTATCTTGAGCCATTTTAGAATCATAGAATCCCATTGGGTCTCCCCCAGCCCTCCAGAGAACATCCCACCCAGACCCTGCCACTCATCCTATCCTGCATTTAGACCAAAGAACATAGAACAATGCAGCACAGGAACAGGCCCTTCAGCCCTCCAAGCCTGTGCCAAATCATTTTGCCCTTCCATTCTAAAACTGTCTTCTCTTACAGGATCTATTTCCCTCCATTCCTTTTCATTTCATGTCTTCTTCCAGGTGTTTCTTGAGTGCTGATATTGTGTCTGCTTCCACCACCTCCTCTGGCAGCATGTTCCAGGCACTCACCACCTTTCCTGTGAAAAACTTGCCTCGCACATCTCTTTTAAACATGCCCACCTCCCCCCCACCCCGCACCTTGAAACAATGTCCCCTAGTAATTGACCCCTCCACCCTGGGAAAAATTCTCATACGTTCCACTCTGTACATACTGCTCACATTCCTATAAACTTCGATCATGTCATCCCTCAGCCTCCTGCATCTCCAGTGAAAACAAATCCAGTCGATTCAAACTTTCTTCATAGCTAAAGTCCTCCATACCAGACAACATCCTGGTAAACCTTTTCAGTACCCTCTCCAAAGCATCCGCATCCTTCTGGTAGTGTGATGACCAGTACTGTGTGCAATTTATTTGGCAGCATCTGTGGAGAGAGAAAGAGTTATCATTTTGAGTCTGGTATGACTCCTTTTCAGAAGAGGTTCTGAAGAAGGGTCTCTTGCCCTGAAACCTTGATTCTACTTTCCCTCCACTGATGTTGCCAGACCCCTAGATGTAGAGTGGTTTATTTGGTGCAGACTCAATGGGCCATACTGTATAATTCTATGACATTATTAGCGTGCCACCATTTCCCCCAAAGTTTTAATACTCAGCCCTAAGCATGTTTGAGGCTTAAAATCATCACCTGGCTGTCTATTGTGTGTTTTAACACATTGAGGGGAAGGAAAAACCCAAAAAAAAATCCCATTTGTCTTCCAGTCAGGTTTAATACGGAGCCAAGAAAATGAATACCTTATAACTCCATTACCTCATCACCTGGCACTGAGACACAACGACACCTCCTCTGCTGGTAATCGCCCTCATGCACTCTTCAAGCGATCGGTGGAGCACAGAATGCAACAGTGGCCAGTGAGTAGCAGACATCACCACCAGCACCATCTCCGCTCTTATCCCCAACTACAAAAGCATCAGCAGCACAAGAGAGATCAGAAGCAACACTACTGTGGGCGACGAAAGAAATGTATGTAAGGAACTTTTTTTTTGCACTTACTACCTTCATTTAGTCAGCAAAAGTAGAGCTGTTTAAACATAACTCTTGTCTGTGTGTAGACACCAAGGTCAGCACTGTTCTCATACAAACATACTTTTGCCCATTTGGTGGCCTCGAGCTGCAAACCTTAGACATATTTTCTTCACTCTTCATCTCAAACATTTTCATCCTACAGTTCATTTGAAAGTGTCAGCTAATAATGGCTATAGGCCATGTTTGAGGCCTTTGGTAAAGGACAGGACCAATTCCTGAGATGACCCCTCCCTCGCTGCATGATTTTGACTGATCTGCATGTCAAGACTACAATGCTTTGTTAAACCAGCTGCTGTTTTGATGGAAAACTCTCTGAGTTTACTCTGCAATCCACCTTAATGTTAAAATAAAGTAGGAACGAGTTGATTGAACTCTTTTTCAATGTTGGTACCAGGACAGTGCTGACTGATTGATTGTTACTCAGTAATCTGTTACTGGTGCAGATTTTTAAAATCTAAAAGAGTTTCTGTCAAAGAAATTTTCTTTGCTTGTGAGTCTAACTCTACAGGAGAAGTTGACCACTCTGATTGTGCTAGATCTTGGAAAGAGCTTTTGAATTAGCTTTATTGTCACATGTACTCAGATGAGTACAGTGAAAAGCTTAAAAGTCACCACCTTCGGCACTATCTTAGGTACAAAGGTACCTAGGCACAGAATCTTCAGTACAAATTTTTAAGAAAAAAATTCTTAAAAATAAAGAAATATAAAGTCCATCAATGCACACTTTGAAAAGTGCAAAAGCAATAAATTAGAAAAATAAAGAAATTAAAAGTTAAGCCAACAGTCCTTCTACAATAATAGAATAAAGGAGAAAAAAAGCTAACCACCTGATTCCATTTTCATTGCCCTTTTATCTCCCAGGCCAATTTGGAAAACATTTCTTTCTCGCAACTACTTATTTAACCCTCGTTTTTGAGATCTTTATGGACTCTGCTGTCCTGCTGTTGCTCGTGGGACACTGCTTTATCCAACACCCCTTGTCCTAAACTTGAAGGCTCAAAATGGGTGCGTCAGCTTTGAAAATGGCGCTTGGGATCAGGACCCACCCATTCTCATTGGCCAGGATGGGAAGTGTCATGGTAACAAAACCAGTTCCATACATGGGCACGTGTCAAGTCGGGGACACAGTGAGTTGGATCAAACCACATTTCACAGTCCCTCAGCCAGAGAGAGAAACACATCTGTTAACGTCAGCTGTGATGATTACAAGTGCCTGTGGTAACCATCAAAGAAAATGCTTCAGTTTTAATGAGCGTTGAGTTGGTGGGGGAGGGGAGCTGCCTGTATTTTTAACAGTGCCCTGCCTTTTGCAAGCTGTTTACATTAGGCCTGTTGAACCTTCCTTGCCTGGATAACTGGTGCCTCATATATTCAATCCCATGCCCTATTGCCCCAGACAATTTTGAGGGGATCTGACAGATCATATCTTGGTTTTTTTTTTACAGGTTGCTGTAATGTTCTTTTTGAAGAGTTAGTGGCGGGTGGAGGTGAAATGGTGGGGAGGGTCTGTGGAATTGGGTAGGAAATTGGTCTCTGATGTTCCTAAGCACTTGAAACACACCGTTCACCTTGCTGGTAAATTTGTTGCTTGACCTCCGCTCGTTACTCCCGCAGCTGGATATTCCCTTCATTCGCCAAGAAATTTATTCCCGTCAGTACTTCCTCAGGCTTTTCTATCTGAGGCCTTTATTGAAGTTAATAGAATCAACAACAAGCGAGATGTATTTAGCACTGTCTAAACATCAGAGGTGCTGAATGCAGTCAGCAAATACCATAATCGCCTCATCTTTTTTAAAAAAAATCTCCGGTTTCTTCCCTTATCTGCTGTGCATTTAGCGCTTGGTGAAGGAGGGTCTTTTAGATGATGGTAAATCTTGTCGACTTCATTCAATTTGTTTTTCGCATGAGGTTGGCAGCTGACTTTTGTCTCCCAGTTTCTAACCAACCCTCTCTAATATGCCACGCCAGCCATCCCTCAGCCCCTTTTCACTGAATATAGCATTGCATGCCTTTCCCTTAACCCTCCAAATACCTTCACGTTCTGCTCTCACCTATCAAAATTCACCCACTCAACCCTCTGATCTCCCTCTGCTTTCTTTGTGATTCCTGGAAACTTGCCTCTCAGATCACCTGTCCCAAAAGGGGTAAGCTCAGTGGTTAGCATTGCTGCCTCATGGCGCCAAGAACCCAGGTTCAATTCCAGACCAGGTGACTGTGAAGTTTGCGTGTTCTCCCCCTGTCAGCGTGGGTTCCCTCTGGGTGCTCAGGTTTCCTTCCACTGTCAAAGATGTTCACGTTAGGTGGATTGGCCATGCTAAATTATCTGTAGTGTTCAAGGATGTGGAGGTTAGCTGGATTAGCCATGGGAAAATGTAGGGTTATGGGGATAGGTGGGTGACTAGGTCTGGGTAGGATGCTCTTCAGAGGGTCAGTGCAGCACTCAATGGGCCAAATGGCATCTTTTCACACTGTAGGGATTCTGTGATTCTAAAACCCTCAGCACTTCTGCGTACAACTGCAGCAAACACTTCGGGTGTGTTTTTCTGCACCACTGGTGTTCGGTAAACATGATTATTGTTTGCAACTTTATCTGTGTCCTGTAAAGTCCATACAACCTAAACCATGGTTGGGGTAGGCTTAAGGGTGATAGGCAGGAGTTAATATATCTGGGTTTGAGTCTAGATTGACCTGGCTATTTCTTTTGCCTGTTCACTGTGACACTGGGTTCAGCTGTACATTCTGTCACTGCCTGAGGTGCAACTGTCTAACTGAAGAGAGACCAGGTACAAGGCTCTTGGAATTAGCATCCATCAGCATGATTGTGAACTTCGCTTGGTTAGCTTGAACAGTTATGAAAAAGAGTCACGGGCAGTACGGTAGCTCAGTGGTTAGCATTACTGCCTCACAGCACCTGGGACCCAGCTTTGATTTCAGCCTCCTGTGACAGTCTGTGTGGAGCTTGCATGTTTTCCTCCTATCCACGCGAATCCCCTCTGGGTGCTCTGGTTTCCTCCTATAGTCCAAAGATGTGCAGGTTAGGTGGATCGACAATGCTAAATTATCCTCTAGTATCCAATGATGTGCAGACAAGGTGGATTAGCCATGGGAAATGCAGGGGTAGGATAGGGGAGTGGGTCTGGGTGGGATGCTCTTCAGAGAAGCAAAGTGGACTTGATAGACTGAATAGCCTGCTTCCACAGTGTAAGAATTCTGGGTCTTACTGGACTTGAAAGATTTTCTCTCTCTCTCTTCCACCCCCAACAGGTGCTGCCAGATCTGCTGAGTTTCTCCAGCATTCTCTGTTTTCATTTCAGATTTTCAGCATCCGCAGTATTTAGCCTTTATTTATCAGATTGAGCCGTTCCCTTATGCAGGGGAGGTGATGGCCGAGTGGTATTATCGCTGGACTGTTAATCCACCAACCCAGATAACATTCTGGGGACCCGGGTTTGAATCCCATCATGGCAGATGATGGAATTTGAATTCAATAAATATCTGGATTTAGGAATCTAATAATGACTGTGAATCCAACGTCAATTGTCTTGAAAAACCCATCTGGTTCACTAATGTCTTTTAGGGAAGGAAACTGCCATCCTTACCTGGTCTGGTCTACATGTGACTCCAGACCCACTGCAATGTGGTTGACTTTTAACTGCCCTTTGGGCAAATAGGGATGGGCAACAAATGCTGGCCTGGACAGTGATGTCCTCATTCCATGAATGACTAAAGAATAAAAGCTGGCTCCTTGATAAGTATGAAGACTGGTAATACTGAGTGTCTGAACAAGTTGAGAGAGGCAGTTAAACCTCTCCTCAAACAGAATTCCTGCTGCCTATATTTTCACCTGTAGCTACAGGGCAATTAAGGATGAAAGCAATAAATTCTGTCCTCACTGCGCAGTGACATCCACATCAGTTGAACTAACAAAAATTCGTCCATCATTCATTAATCCATATCCCTGAGCTTGTGAGACTGGTTTCCCTGTCAGTCAGTGCCACAATTTTAAAATCCTCCTCCTTTTTTTCAAATTTCTCAATGATTTCTTCCCTCTGACAATTTCTAAAGTATCTTCTAGTTCTGCGGACCCAAGTCTTCTGAATTTCTTCAAATTTGGCTCGTTCAATGCTGTCAATTTTAAGAGCTATGAGAGCAGGTCAGAGGCTAAGAATACTGTGGCGAGTAACTTACCTCCTGACTCCCCAAAACCTGTCCACCATCTACAAGGCACAAGTCAGGAGTGTGATGGAATACTCCCCACTTGCCTGGATGAGTGCAGCCCCAACAACACTCAAGAAGCTTGACACCATCCAGGACAAAGCTGCCTGCCTGATTGGCACAAACATCCACTCCCTCCACCACTGATGGTCAGTAGCAGTAGCGTGTACTATCTACAAGATGTATTGCAGAAATTCACCAGTGACCCTTAAACAGGATCTTCCAAACCCACGACCACTTGCATTGAAAAGGTTAAGGGGAGCAGATACATGGGAACATTTCCGCCCGCAAATTCCCCTCCACGCCACTCACTATCCAGACTTGGAAATATATCGCCATTCCTTCACTGTCGCTGGGTCAAAATCCTGGAAATCCCCCCCTAAAGGCATCGTGGGTTTACCTAGAGCACATAGACTGCAGCAGTTCATGAAGACAGGTCACTATGACCTTCTTAAGGGCAACAAGGGATGGGCAATAAATGCTGGCCCAGCCAATGAAACCCACGAGAGAAGAAAAAACATTGCCCACCATTGATTTTTAGCTGACTTCACCCTTAATACTGAAATGACCTTCTTAAACTGTTTTCACCTCCTGACCTCTCTTTCCCCTCCTTTAAGGCATTCTCTAACAGTAACCCAATTGACCAAGCTTTTGGTTATCTTTCCTCCAGCTGTTTTCCGTCACTCAATGTCAACGATGTTTTCCGTAATAATCCAGTTGATTGTTTTAGCTCACTTTGCGACATTAAAAGTGCCTTATGACTTCAAATTGTTGTGGTTGACGATTTGGCTTTCAAATTCAGGTTGGAAATTTTAAAAAATCTTTTATTTTCCTGACCACAGTTTGAAAGATTGAAGACTGCCTCAAAGTTTTGTTTTGTTGTCCTTGTTTGTAACGTAAGAACTTTCTGCTTTTCACAAACGCATGGGACAGGGGAGAAGCAGTAGAATCTACTTTCTGCTCCTCTTAAGAACTGTGTGTTTTCTCTGCTTCCCTGTCTCCCCACATCCCCACCTCAGATATGCCTCAACCTCCAGTCGAAGATATCCACCTCTTGTCTGATGAATACAGTTCCAGAGGCAGACTGAAACGCACAGCCCTCGATTCCCAGAAATCCGGGGGGCTCACTGTTGAAACGCTGGTGGTGGCAGACAAGAAGATGCTGGAGAAACACGGCAGAGACAATATCACAACCTATATCCTCACTGTTATGAACATGGTAAGCCAGTGAGAGAGTATACTTGCAGCAGGAATGGGGGTGAGCATTTTATTTGTGCCTTTTGCCTTTCAGTATCAAGATTGAATCATCTACAAGGAGTTATTTCTCCTTGTTACCAGTGCCAGGGATTCCATTGACTCTTTTTTTTGAGGAAGCTCTGCAGCATGTTTTCGTTTCTGAACATTAATATGAATAGGGTGTGGGTCTCTTTTATTCCTCACACTGCGAGCTCCTGGTTTCCAATGTACCATTGTGACCAGTTCCCAACTCAAGATCAGATATTTGGTCACTGAAAGAAATTGTCAGAAAAACTGGCGACTCAGTCAGTCTGTTGAATCGTTCTACTTTCGGAATGGACTCTGTCCGGGAATTGAGGGGAACAGGGAAAAGGCAGGAAAGTGGAGTTGAGCATTATCAGGTCAGTCATGATCTCATTGAATGGTGGAGCAGACTTGATGGGCTGAATGGCCTAATTGTGCTTCTAGGTCTTATGGTCCCTTTTGCTGTACCTGCTATTGAGAGAACAGGAGGAAAGTTAAGGTAATCATTCCTGATTCTGAGTAATACATCACCATATGCTAAGCAATTAATAAGTTTACACTGATCTGATGTCCCATATGCAGACGATCAGGTAGGTCACAAATAATCCTGTTGTGGTTAGTGTTGAGCCAGATATACATTGGCACTGCTTACAAGATAATAGTACATTGAAACAGTCACTTGCTTGCATAGATGCAGCTCCAACAACACTCTAGAAACTTGACATGCTCCAGGACAAAGCAGCCCCTTTAATTGGCACCACATCCACAAATATTTTCTTCCACCAACAATCTCGCTCAGGAGGAGCAGTGTGTAGCATCACCAGGATGCACTGCAGAAATTTATCAAGAGTAATTTCCAACTCATGACCACTACCACCAAGAAGGACAAGGGCAGCAGATACATGGGAACACCACCACCAGCAAATTCTCCTCCCAGCACTTGCCATCCTGCCGTGGAAATAAATCGACATTCCTTCAGTGTCACTAGGTCAAAATCCTGGAATTCCCTCCGTAATGGTATTGTGGGTTAACCTACAACACACGGACTGCAACAGTTCAAGAAATAGTTCAAGGTGACATTGGTGGTGGGCAAGTTGTGGAAGGGAATCCTGAGGGACAGGATTTACATGTATTTAGAAAGGCAAGGACTTATTAGGGATAGTCAACATGGCTTTGTGAATGGGAAATTGTGTCTCACTAACTTGATTGAGTTTTTTGAAGAAGTGACAAAGAGGATTGAAAAGGACAGAGGGGTGGATGTGATATATATGGACTTCAGCAAGGCGGTCGACAAGGTTCCTCATGGTAGACTGGTTAGCAAGGTTAGATCATATGGAATACGGGGAGAACCAGCCATTTGGATACAGAACTGGCTCAAAGTTAGAAGACAGAGGGTAGTCTTTCAAACAGGAGGCCCGTGAAGAGTGGTGTGCTGCAAGGATCAGTGCTGGGTCCACTGCTTTTCTTTATAAATGATTTGGATGTGAACATAGGAGGTATGGTTAGTTAGTTTGCAGATGACACAAAAATTGGAGGTGTAGCGGTCAGTGAAGATTACTTCAGAGTACAACAGGTTCTTGATCAGGTGGGCCATCGGGCCGAGGAGTGGCAGATGGAGTTTAATTTAGATAAATGTGAGGTGCTGCATTTTGAAAAGGCAAATCAGGGCAGGACTTATACACTTAATGGTAAGGTCCTGAGGAATGTTGCTGAGCAAAGAGACCTTGGAGTGCAGGTTCATAGTTTTATCATGGTGAAATCACACTAGATAGAAGAGTGAAGAAGGCATTTGGTATGCTTGCCTTTATTGGTCAGTGTGTTGAGTAAAGGAGTTGGGAGGCCAGGTTGTGGCTGTGCAAGACATTGGTTTGGCCACTTTTGGAATACTGTGTGCAATTCTGGTCTCTCTGCTGTAGGAAGGATGCTGTGAAACTTGACAGGGTTCAAAAAAGATTTACAAGGATGTTGCCAGGATTGGAATGTTTGGGGTCTAGGGAGAGGCTGAACAGGCTGGGGCTATTTTCCCTGGAGTGTTGGAGGTTGAAGGGTGACCTTGTAGAGGTTTATAAAATCGTGAGGGGCATGGACAGGGTGAATGGACAAGGTCTTTTTCCCGGGACAGGGGAGTCCAAAACTGGATGGCATAGCTTTAACGTGAGAGGGGAAAGATTTAAAAGAGACGTAAGGAGCAACTTTTTCATGGAAAGGGTGGTGTGTGTATGGAATGAGCTGCTAGAGGAAGTGGCAGAGGTTGGTACAATTACAACATTTAAAAGGCATCTGGATGGGTAAATGAGTAGGAAGGGTTTAGAGGGATACGTGACAAATGCTGGCAAATGGGATTGGATTTATTTAGGAAATCTGGACGAGTTGGACCAAAAGGCCTGTTTCTGTGCTGTATATCTCTACGACTCTATGACTCAAAGTCAGCTCAGCACTGCCTTCACAAGGGTAATTAGGGATAGAAAATAAATGATGGCCAGCCAATGGTGTCACATCCCGTAAGTGAATTTAAACGAAAAGGCTACTGATGTTTAAGTGTTTAATGTGGTAACCTGTGTTGTTCCAGATTACATAAACATTGAGGTCAGGGCACTGTAATGGGTCAGTGCAAAAGAATTTAGTTCAGTGATCCTGGGTCAAGGAGATCATTGATCTTGTTCATGACCACTATACAATGAAGCATCCCGGCAAAGAACACAGACTACTGAAATCCTGATGCCTTCTCTGGTTTATCTCCATGTTGTGGGGTCGTTGTAACATCTATTGAATTGAATTGAATGGAGCTCCTCTGATAGGGGGCAGCAACAAGTTCTTGGTGCTGGAATGAAAGGGATGTGTCTCTCCTTGTATACAGTTGACAGGCTGTGTCTTTGGCAGAGCAGCAAAGGTAATGGGAAAGTTGCCAGTGGTGGTAACCGCTGGGAAATTATTTTCTTTCCTCTTCTGGGGAAGTCTGGAATTGGATAATCTAAGGATGAGCACTCTCCCTTTTAATCCTGAGAAAAGGGATGTTTTCATCATCTGAAGATCATCAGTGTCTGGAATTCTTTTCCCTCAGAAAAAATTGGGGCTGGGTCATTAAAATTATCCAAGGTTGAGTTGAAGAGATTATTGATTGGCAAGTGAGTCAAGGGTCATGGGGCGTTCAGGTAGGAAGGTGGAGCTGAAACCACAACCAGACGCACCATGGTCTTATCATGTGGTGGAGCAGGTTTGAAGGGCTGAATGGCCTCCTTCCTGCTTTAAGTCCGACAGTTCTGGTACATCCACAACCTGTCTCCAATTGTGACTGTTCTGAAAGAAGTGGCACGGTGGCACAGTGGTTAGCTCTGCTGCCTCATGGTGCCAGGGACCTGGGTTCAATTCCAGCCTCGGGCAACTGTCTGTGTGGAGTTTGCACATTCTCCCCATGTCTGCGTGGGTTTCTTCTACATGCTCCAGTTTCCTCCCACAGTCCAAAGATGTGCAGGCTAGGTGGATTGGCCATGTTAAATAGCCTGTAGTGTTCAGGGATGTGTAGATTAGATGGGTTATATGGGAATGGGTCTGGGTGGGATACTGTGAGGGTCGGTGTGGTCGGTGTTGGGTCGAAGGGCCTGTTTCCACGCTGTAGGGATTCTATGATGAAGGAAAAAAGCCTTTAAAGGACTTTGTGAAGAGTGTCTTCACGCATTAAGGCTGGTGCAAACCTACAAGGTTGTCCCTCTTAACACGCTTTTGAGGTTAGCAGTCGGTTGAAGATTTCAAAATAGAGGGTTTTTTTTAGGTAAAAGTATTGAGGCAGATGGATCCAAGGTAATGAGATGGATTCGAGGTTGTGTGGAGTTAATGATCCAGTTGAGCTGAGGAATAGATTTAGGAGGCTGAACCGCCTCTTCTGTTCCTATTTGATGCCTGTTCAAAATAAATATTCAAGAGAGGGCTGGATGTGGCCCTTGTGGCTAAAAGGATCGAGGCAGAGGGCGGGAATGGGATACTGAGATTGTATGATCAGCCATGATCGTAATGAATGGTGATGCAGACTTGAAGAGCCAAATGGCCTCCTCCTGCACCTGTTTTCTATGGGATGTAACTGTTGCTGGCTGGGCTCATTCCTCATTGTCCTTGAGAAGGTGGCGTTGAGTTGCCATCTTGAATGGCAGAAGTCTATCAGATAGGAAGGAAGTTCCAGAAGTTTCTATCAATGACCAAATATGATCATTAACATTTGTCCTTGTAAAATGGTATGTGACTTCATGAGGATGTTCCCTTGTGCTAGTTCTCCTCGGCAGTAGAGCCTGAGGATTTGGAATGTGCTGCTGAAGGAGCCACAGCGAGTTGTTGCACTGGCCCCTGTAAATGGTGAGTATTGGAGCCACTGTGGCTGTGGTTGAGCAGGTGAGGACTTAAGATGGTGGATGTGGTGCCAATGATACGTGGGCTCCTTTGTACCTGGTAGATAGTGGACAAACTTTGGAGAATCAGGAGGTGAGTTAGTCACCACTGATTGCTAACCTCTGACCTGCTGTTGCATCCAAAACATTTATGTCGCTTATTTTAAAAATTCTGGCCTATTTGTAAATGGAAATTGTTTGGCACTTGACTGGCAAACTAATATTTATGACAAGATCCCAGGCCTTGGTGCATGCAGGCACAGACTGACGAGAGTTGGACCATGACACTATCTTATTGAATTCCGGGGATGAAACACCTCTGAGATAATTCGTCTCCTATAACCATAGCCAAGTTCCTCTGTGGTAGACACAAATCCAGTTGTTGGAAAGTTCTCCCCCATTCCCAGGTTAAATGGCAGTTTGTTATTACCATGTAATAAATTTGGTTTGTTTCTTGACAGTAATGTGCTGACATGTTCTTCCCAACAGGTATCCAGTCTTTTCAAAGATGGCACCATTGGAAGTGACATAAAGATTGTGGTAGTGAGCCTGCTACTTCTGGAGCAGGATCCAGTAGGTTGTCTTCATGCTCCTATTTTGTCATAAATACATCAAAGGAATGCAGCTAAACTGAATCCTAACCATATGTCTGAGATAATCACCTGCCCAGTAGATAGATAACGTGTAGAATTTCAACCACCAATTCTTTAAAACAAACATGGCAATTCTACGGCAAAGAAAGAACTGTCCCTTGTGACAATCCTTTGACAATCCTCAGACTTCCCAAAGTGCTTAACCAATGTTGAACTATTTTTGAAGTTCAGTTCCTGGTTCATTAATGCTGCCTGTGAGTTTCATCGTGACATCAGAAGTACTTGCTTGCTGTTCATTTTCGAACAGTCTCAGGGGATCTTTCACATCCGCCTGAGGATGCAAATGGAGGCTCAGTTTCCCATCTGGTCCAATAGATAGCATGCTTTGCCCATACAAGTTACCTGCTCCAGGCTAAGGCTTGACCTCATGGTCTTCTGACTTGCAATCAAGAGCTCTGAACTCTGACCTACTCCTGGCACTGGATCAGAATGTCCCTGGAGGTACTTAGTTCCACACAACACACGAGGGGAAGTGCCTGGACATATGACAGAGAATGAGGAACATTAGAGATAAAAATGTGGAATATTGGGCAAGCTTAATGGACCCCATTAAGTACTTAGTAGTCTTCCACATCCTCAAGTTCATGTGTGTGTGTGTGTGTGTGTGTGTGAGAGGAAAAAGCCTCTTGGCTGACGTTGTTGTAATAGGTGCACTGTGCAGTTCTGTTGAGCTAATTGCAGATCCAGTTCACTCTGTAGACAGGAATTGTAACAAGAATTAATATTTGCCACAGTCGTAGAACTAATCATGAAACAAAAAATTGGGTTGTGTTGGTTTCCTCTTCCAGCCTGGGTTAGTGATCAACCACCATGCAGACCAATCATTGAATAGCTTCTGTCAATGGCAGTCTGGCCTGATGGAAAAGAATGGAAAGCGACATGATCATGCGGTATTACTGACTGGACTGGACATTTGCTCCTGGAAGAATGAACCCTGTGATACATTGGGTAAGCAGAACTCCCCACACATAACTTTCTCACTCTTTGAGAAAGTAACTGTTCAGAAAGAGTTGACCTGAAACTCTCTGAAGGTCCATTCATTAATTCATGAGGCATAGATATCACTGACTGAATTTATTGTGTATCCTTCATGGCTCCTGGAAAAATGTTAATGAACTATGTTCTTGAATAAAATTGAGTGGCTTGCTAGGCTATTTCAGAGGTCTCTCAAGAGTCAATTATATTGCTGAGCATCTGGAGTCACACATAGGCCAGGCCAGATAAGGACAGCAAATGTTCCTTCACATCAGTGAACCAGATGGGTTTTTACAACCTCCAGCTGTTTCCTGGTGATCCGTCACTGAAACTAGCTTTTTATACAGGTTGAATTTTGCTAGTTGAATTTTGATCCTTTGCCAAGTTGGTGAGGTTTGATTACACAGTCTACACTCATTGATCTCCACCATACTAACAGTATGAGGTCTTGCAGTTGACTTCATCGCTCCCAAACTTAAGTTGCAATAGAATTATCAATTATATAGCAGTTAAATACATGACAACTGATTGAGCAAACTGAGTTCAGTTTGTGAATTTGAGTGTATTTTGAAAAAAGGATCTTTGATAAAGAAAGCTGGCCATGAAACTATTGATGTTTGTAAAAGTTATTCTTGGAATATGGACATCATTGTCCAAGCCCATTCCTAATTGGATCAGAAATTACCTGTAGATCAAATAAGGATGGCAGGCTTTCTTCCCTAAAGGATATTAGTAGACGAGATGGCTTTTAAATAATACTTGAAACATGTTTGAGATCAAGTAAGCTTTTCATTCCAGATTTTTGTTGAATTTAAATTTCACCGTTTCCTGTGGTGGTATTTGAACCCAAATTCCCAGAACATTAACCTGGTGTATGGCTTACTGATGCATATCACTAGGCTGCCACCTCCACACATTAACTACTGTTCTTCACAGAAAAAAAGCTTTCACTGATAGCAGGAGCTGCAGATGCTGGAGAATCTGAGATAACAAGGTGCAGAGCTGGATGAACACAGCAGGCCAAGCAGCATCAGAGGAGCTGGAAGGCTGACGTTTCGGGCCTAGACCCTTCTTCAGAAATGCTCCCTTTCACCGTTTGTCTGACATATGCCTTCAGTCCCACACTGAATATGATCAACCCTGCATAATGACGAGTTGCTTTTGGAGTGCGGTCATTGTTAAATATCAGTAAATGCAAACAGGATTACGTGTATAAAGAACCTCTTGTTATTTGGTGACATTGGTTGGGAGGAATGTAAGCCAAGATACTAGGAGATCTCATTATTCCTCTTCAGACTCTGCCTTTGCAACCTGCCAAAAGGTGGCCCTTTTGCCAATTGTCTGTATAAACTACAGTAGTACCCAGATCAAAAACAAAATCAGAAATTGCTGGAAAAGCTCAGCAGGTCTAGCAGCATCTATGGAGAGAACTCAGGGTTAATGTTTTAGGTTGAGTGACCCTTCCCGTTCTGAGGAAGGGTCACTTGACCCACATTGTCAACTCTGACTTCTCTCCGCAGATGCAGCCAGACCTGCTGAGCCTTTCCAGCAATTCCTGTTTTTGTTTCAGATTTACAACATCAGCAGTTCTTTTCGGATTTTGCTCAGTACCCAAATGAGGCTTGCTTGATAGCTCCATCCGAGGGCAGCCAGGAATGGACAGTAGATGCTACTTTTGCTGAGTTTTTATGATATGTAGAAGAACGAAATGCAGTGCAGCTCAGATGTCTTTACTGTACATTTGGTAATTTTCCTAAAGCTTCAGTGACGAATGGGGACATTTGGCTGTGCTGTCCCTCGCGTGAGATGATAAACCTTTTGGCAGGTTGCAAAGGCTGAGTCTGAAGAAGAATAATGAGATCTCCTGGTATCTTGGCTTACATTCCTCCCAGCCAGTGTTACCAAATAACAAGAGATTCCTTACGCACATAATCCTTTTTGCGGTTACTGATATTTAACAATGACAGCATTCCAAAAGCAACTCATCATTGCGCAGTGCTTCTGAGTCTTTAGGTAATTCAGATGCAATTTTCTTTCTTTCTCATTTTGTGTTACTCATTAAAATCAAGTTGCCATAGTACCACTCACTCATTCAAAAGAGACAACTGATGATGAGTTTAACCTGAGGGTCACCACATCTTGGGCAAGATTGAGAAAGAGTGCAACTCCACCCAGTGTGGGAATTGAGCCCATGCTGTTAGCATTGCAAGCTAGCCATCCAGCCAATTGAACTAAGTCAGCCTTAAACAAAATAAACTTGTAAAATAAATACAGATTGAAGGTACCAGCCTGATTATCACTGTGTGAGAAGCAGAGCGACATCTTACTCTGTGCACAAATTATCTAGCTTAGAATAATTCCTTATTATTTTGTACAAATACCACAGTACAGGGAGAGGTCATTCAGCCTATTGAATTCATTTCAGCTCTCAGTAGAGCATTCTACTCCGTCCCATTGACTCTGCTCATTGCTACCCCCACCAGCAAATTTATTTCCCAAAAAAAATGCCCATCCAATTTCCTTCTGGAATCGGACTCACACCTTTTTTGAGTCTTTATTGAGAAAGCACTGACAAATCTCATGTGCGGGAGAGCAGTCAGAGATTACATTTATAAACCAACTTTCATGTCCTTAGCAACAAAACCAGAATTTTCTGGGAAATCTCAGCAGGTCTGGCAGCATCTGTGGAGAGAAAGCAAAGCAAAGTCTGAACAAGAGCCGTTGGACTTGAAAAGTTAACTCTGCTTTTTCTCCACAGATTCTGCCTGACCGTCTGAGTTTCTCCAGCATTTTCTGTTCTTGTTTCTGATTTCCAGTATCCGCAGATCTTTGCTTTATTTGTTTCATGCTCTTGGAATGTTCTGAAGTGCTTCACAGCATTTGAAAAATGTTATTGAATACTGTTTATTTTTTATTATTTGTTCATGTGCTGTGGATGTCACTAACTAAACCAGCATTTATCACCTGTCCCTAATGGCCCTGGAGGAGGTGGTGGTGAGTAACTTTGATGCGCTGCATTATTTGGGATGCATCTACACCCACAATGCTGATGGGAAGGGAGGTCCACGATCTCGTCCCCACAACAGTGAAGGAATGGAGACGTATTTCAGAGTCAGGATGATGAGTGGCTTGGAGAGGAGCTTGCATTTGGTGGTATTCCCATGTGTCTGCTGCCCTTGTCCTTCTAGTTAGTAAAGATCAAGAGTTCAAATACTTAGCAAGAGCAACCTTGCAGGGTTATGGGGAGAAAGCAGGTGAGTGGGACACATCGACTAGCTGTTTTATAAGATCAGCGCAGGCACGATGGACTAAATAGGCTCTGTTGTGCTGCAACATTCTGCAAAAGGCCTATTTCGTTTTCTTACACCATGTTGATGGACGAAGAAATTTAACCATGTAGGAAGTGCTGAATTTATTGTGAAATCAGGGAGATATATATACCTGAGAAGGTTTGGGGTGTTGCTGCAGTACATCTTTTATACTGCTGCCACCATGCATCAGTGATGGACAGGGTACCAATGCATGCAGAGGTGGTAGACAACTTGCACACAGCAAGGTCTCACATGCTGCATTAAGATAACAAAGTTATTGACTATTGTTAAACTAAATTAGAACTATTAATATTATAACTCTGTTATTAAACTATTACCCTGCTTTTATTGATGTTGCTTGGATGGATAAATATTGACCAAGATGGCAAAAAAACCTCTCATATTTCCAGTCATGCTATGGGACCCTTAGCAGCCATCTCAACTGCTAACTCAGACCTTAGCTTAATGTGTTGTCTGAGCATTGGTACTTCCGACAGTGTAGCACTCTGCCAGTCATGTGTTTGAGGCACTTATTTCATGTTTCGGGGGTAAACCGAGAGCCTAATTATGCCGAACAAGAGTACAACCAAATAAGGCAAGTTGACATTTGGAAGGTGCATTGTACTAAGAGAAAGGTAGGAAGCAGGAGTGAATGAGAGTGCAGTGATGTCATTTCACCATATCTTATACCTTGTATACTCTATGTATACTGTCACTTCTGGCTCTTGTTACATTCTGATGTGATTGAAAATTTTTGCAGGTGGCCAAAGCACACTTTTGAGCCTCAACTGATATTTTAGACCAGAAAAGGCAATGATTAAGTGCTGTCATCATTTACGTTGCTGAGGAGAGCCTTTTAGGGAATAGCTCATGTCACTTTACTGGGGCGGCAGTGATACCTAGCAATATCAGGGGGCTGGTAGTCTTCATCATGGAATTATAGAATCTGTACAGTGAGTAGGCAGGCCAGTTAATTGTCCCACTGACCCTTCGAAGAGCATCCCACCCAGATCCACACGTCCCGTACCCTATCCCTGTAATCTTGCCTTTCCTGTGGCTAATCCACTAAACATGCCTAATCCTGGACACTATGGACAATTTAGCATGGTCAATCCACCCTTACCTGCACATCTTTTTGGACTGTGGGAGAAAACCAGAGCACCTAGAGGAAATGCATGCAGACGCAGGGAGAATGTGCAAACTCCATTCTTGAATTTCTAGAAAGTTGTTCTGTGGGCAAGGGTTCAAATCCCTCAATGACAGACAATGAAATTTGCATTAAATAAAAAGCCAGAATAAAAAGAAAAGTAGCCTATTGACATTTTACGCAAAATCACCTGGTTCACCAATGTGCTTGAGGGAAGGAAATGCTGCCTTTATCTGTGATAGTAGGAACTGCAGATGCTGGAGAATCTGAGATAACAAGGTGTAGAGTTGGATGACCTGCTCCTCTGATGCTGCTTGGCCTGCTGTGTTCATCCAGCTCTATACCTGGTTATCTGCCTTTATCTGGTCTGGCTTACATTTGACTGCAGACCCACAGCAATGTTCTTGACTCTTAACTACTCTCTGGGCAATAAATTTTATCCCGTGTTGCCCTCATTGCATAAATGTATATTTAAAAAAAGGACACGGAGGTGTGGAGAGGAGACAGTAAAATACCATGGGATGGGGCCAACTTCCATCCAGTGAAAGCTCAGTTGAGACTTGTTGGAGTTCTCTCTCAGTTGTCAGTGTTTGATGTTGTGCCTGTGCCTGTTCTTTTCTGGGGATTTGCTGAAACTTGGGTTTGTTTTGTAGGTTTTGCTCCAATTAGTGGAATGTGCAGCAAGTACCGAAGCTGTACCATCAATGAAGACACAGGCCTTGGCCTAGCTTTTACCATTGCTCATGAATCTGGACATAAGTAAGTGATTCTTATTCTCTGTTTGATCCACTTTGTCAGGCCTCCCATTTTGATTTGCTCCTGCCAGGGCTGCCCCAGCTGTTCAGGTCCCACTGGCATTCTCCATTGGCAAGACCAAACAATGGATATCAGCAGCCTAATAAAAACTGAAAAAACTGCGGATGCTGTAAATCAGGAACAAAAACAAAGTTGCTGGAGAAACTCAGCAGGTCTGGCAGCATCTGTGAAGGAAAAAACAGAGTTAATGTTTCGGGTCTGGTTCTGAGGAAGGGTCACCAGACCCGAAACGTTAACTCTGTTTTTTCCTTCACAGATGCTGCCAGACCCGCTGAGCTTCTCCAGCAGCTTTGTTTTTCATATCAACAGCCTGGAAGGCATAATGGCCTCACATGATCTGCTCACATTTCTGAAGTGGGACTTGGTGATGTATCAGTAATGCCACTGTCCAGAGTCCTAGGCATTTGGTTCAAATCCCACCATGGTAGGTAGTGAAATTGACATTCAGTTGATTACATCTAAAATTGAAAGCTTGTTTCAGAATAACATCGACCATCGATTGTTGTCAAAATCCGTCTGGTTTCTAGGAAAGAAATCTGTCGTCCTTACCTGGTCTGACCTACATGTGACTCCAGACCTAAACTGCCCTCTGAAATGGCCTAACAAGTCACTCATTTGAACTGCAGAGATGGCATTCTCAGGGTTGTGCTAGTTCAGCTATGGTTTCAGTTCTAGGACAATTAGGACAACAAACGCTGATCAGCAATACCCACGTTGCATCAAATAATAAATAAAAAGGGAACCTTCTGCTTTTGAGGGGGACAAGAATGCTACTCACTGAACCACAGCTGAGGTGAAGAATTTTAGAGAGAGAATTTTCAGGTGAGGGAAGAGACTGAAAACTGATTAACCATTGATAGGAAAGAGAGAGTTAACAGGAAAGCAAGAAGTATTATAAAGAACAGAGTAGGTGGCTGGTGGCAGGAAAAAAATACTTTTCAAAAAACCTGTCCTGAACTATAAATCAGCTAAAGCAGCAATTATTATGTTTTATGCCTAAACTTACTTAAATTATTAATAAACTTACCTAACAATTATTCATAAAATGCATCAAAAGGTGACCAATGACTACCTAAGAATCAGAGAGAGCTGTCTTTTACTTATTTATTCACGGGATGTGGACATCATTGGCTAGGCCAACTTTTATTGCCCTGATAACAATTCAGACTCAACCACATAGGAATCTGAGAGTCACATGTAGGCCTGACCAGACAAGGGCATCTGATCCTTTTCCCTGAAGAACTTTAATGAACCGTGTGAGTTTTTACAGTAAAGATACATGGTCACGCTTAGGCTAACTTCTTATTCCAAATTTTTGTTAACTTCAAATTTCACCATCGGCTTTGGTGGAATTTAAACCCAGCACCACTGCCCACCACCACCCCTCCCACCTCCCACCCTTATGGCATTAACCTGGATCACCACTACAGCGATATTACAACCTTGTCTGACCAATATAGTTGATGGTTTGAGTCAGTTATTATTGGTGATGAGTTCCTGGAAGCAAGTTGGGATGCTAATGGAAATGTTTAAATTGTTGAAGATAAAATAACGAATGCATTGGAGGTCCTTTCAAACACTGAGTGGGCCCAGATAGTTTGGTGAAATTCAGTGATTGATAACCATGCAACCAAAGGTAATTCCAGCCTTGAATTTGCTCTGGTGAATGTGTCTTAGAAATTTTATTTTTGTTTTGTCTTGTTGGGTTTATTTCTATTTGAAACTGCAACAATCAGCTCCTATTGACATCATTCTTCCTTAACCCCAATGAGGACAAAGGTAAATGATGGCCCCTCCTGATCACTGTGAGTGAAATGTGTGGGTGTGTGGATCAACTCATCATGTGACTCGATTGGTGAGGATGCCCCTGCTCTGCCTTTGCCTGCTGCTTTGGGTGTGGCTCTGGAGGATTGTTAGATTCCATGAGGTTAAAACAATCTTCACCCCTTCTCTACCTACTGCACCTGCCAGTCCAGCCTTATCAGCCAAGACTGGCCTTGATCGAACACATGGTGGGAGCTGGAATTGAAGGCTCTGCCAGACTCTATAAGCGGTGACATTGTTTGTGGAGTGGGGAAGGGGAGGAGAAGCAAGAAGTTGTTATGTGAGCTGGGAGTGTACTGGAACAGAAACCCTGTTTTGGCAAAGGGGCAGGTTGTGAAAGGAAAGCCACTCACTTTAGAAGCAGTTTTTGGAGGGGAAAAGGGTTTGGAGGTTGAGAAGTGATGATCTGGTCCTGGAAGTGATTTGAGGAAGCTGCTGTTTCCTCTTTTCCGTTCATTAGCATTCACCCCACGTAGAGAAAATGTTACGGCTTTTATGATGCCTGTGGTCACTAATTGTATACAGCCTCAGGCCGAGTGCCTCAGTGATTTGCTGTCGGCCTCGGGGGACTAAGGCTCTTCCTGTTCATTGGAGTGCACATCAGATCAACCAATGCTGACTTTTTATTGGGTTTGTTTCCAAAAATACTGTAAAGCCGTTTGAAAAGGAAGAAAGGAACCTGATGCATTTTGTGCTTGATAATGCCACCTCCACCCGTCTATAGCACAGCAGGTTTAATTACATCAGCAAGCTGGGAAGATCAGAGGCACAGTTCCTGAGCTGCGCTGTCAACTGATTGCATCTAAGAGTCTTCCATTACCAGCCCCCAGAGAGAAATAAAGACCTCTGGATTCACAAACATGATAGTCAGCTCATACACAGTGAGATCTCTCAAACTGCAATGTAGCAATGTGCAGAAAAGCTACTTTATTAATGTTCGCTGAAGGACCATTATTAGCCAGGCAACAGAGAGACCTCTGCTCTTCTTCACTGTAGTCCCACCAGATATTTTACATCCAGCTGAAAGACTAGATGAGGCTTCAGTTTAGCATCTCACCTGAAAGGTGATTCTTCGGCATGCTGCCAGTACTTCTTAAAACTTTCTTCATGGGATGCGAGCGTCACTGGCTGGGCCAGCATTTATTGCCCATTCTAAATGGCTCTGGATAGGGTGATGCTGAGATGCCTTCTTAAACTGCTGCTGGGGAAAGGACACATATACTGCCGTTAGGGAGCTAATTCCATGATTTTGACTAAATAGCAGTCAAAAAATGACAATATATTTGCAAGTCAGGATGGCACGTGGTTTGAAGGAGAACTTGCAAGTGGTGGTGTACCCCCGCCATATCTGCTGCCATTGGTAGAAGTTACAGGCTTGGAAAGTACAGTCAAAACAGCCTTGGTGAGTTACTGCAGTGTATTGGCCTAGATTACTTGTTCATCTCCAGAAATGGGACTTCAATCCACAACCTTTTTGACTTGGAAGCATGTGAACAAGGAGCAAAATAGACCACTCAGTTCCCTCAAGTCTGCTCCATCATTCAAAGAACAAAGAACAAAGAAAATTACAGCATAGGAACAGGCCCTTCGGCCCTCCAAGCCTGCGCCGACATGCTGCCCGTCACAGCTAAACCCTGCTACCCTTCCAGGGACTGTATTCCTCTATTCCCATCCTATTCCCATTCCTTCAGTGAGATCATGACTGATCTGATAACTCCACTGATTTTTGCCTGCCCCTGATAACCTGTCACCCTCTTGCTTATCAAGAAACTATCTATTTTCCTGAATATCATGTAAATATTCTGCTTCCATTACCTCTTGCAGAAGAGAATTTGAAGGCTACATGGCCCTCACTGAGAAAGAAGTGATCCTTATCGCTGTCTAAAATAGGAAGCCCCTTATTTTTAAACAGTGATCTCTTTTCCAATCTTCCTCATAAGCCAACCCCCCATTCCTGGTAAAAGTTCAGTAAACCTTTTATGAGCAACTTCCAATGGATTTACACCTTTGCTTGAATGAGATGATCGATACTGTACACAATTCTCCATATACAATCTTACCAATGCTTTGTATAACTGAAGTATAACTGTGCTATTTTTGTATTTTATTCTCCTTTGAAATAAACTATGACATTCTATTAATTCTCCTCATTATTTGCTGTATCTGCATATTAACCTTTCACAATTCATTCATAAAATTACTCAGAAGCAAAAACAGAAATTGCTGGAAAAGCTCAGCAGGTCTGGCAACATCTCTGTTTTACACTCCAGGAATATTAAACAAATGGGTTAGAATCTGACTGCAACACCTGTCTGTGTGTATTGTTGGCTGGACATTCTGGTTTGTAAGACTATAGTGCTGTGGGTGGCACAGTGCGGAGAACAGCCATAGAGTCATATGCATAAGCATATGGAATGAGCTGCTAGCGGAAGTGCTTGAAGCGGGTACATTAACAACATTTAAAAGGCATTTGGATGAATACATGGATAGGAAAGGTTTAGAAGGATATGGGCCAAGTGCAGGGAAATGGGGTTAGCGTTTATGGACATTTTGGTCGGCATAGATCCATTTGGACTAAAGGGCCTGTCTCCGTGCTGTAGGACTCTATGACTCCATGACTCTAAAACTCTATCTGTGGAGAGAAATCACAGTTAACGTTTCAGGTCCAGTGACCCTTCCTCAGAACAAGATTGCTCAGATCCCTTTGCATCTCAGAGCTCTGTAATCTCTGACCATTTAGATAACATGCTTTTTTTATTCTTCCTGGCAAATGGCAAATTTTATCTTTTCCCAAATACATTCCATTTACCAGATCTCATCCACTCAAAACTTTTCTATATTTCTCTACAGCATTCTTGTGTTCTCTTCACAGCTTGTTTTCCTAGTTACCTTTGTGCCATCATTAATTTTCGTCACCATATCTTCCTTTCCTCCATCCACATTATTTGTACGAATTGTAAAAAGTTGAGGTCTTAACATAGATTCCTGTAACACACAACTCATTACATATTGTCAACTGGAAAATAACCCATTTATGTCTCCTCCTTGTTTCCCTTTAGACTACCAGTCTTCTGTCTACACTAATATTTTATTTCCTACACAGTGAGCTCTGATTTTCT